ATTCCTCTTAAAGCAACCTCTGTTTTCTGAATAGTTCTGATTTCCACTAAAATGATTTTCAGCTATTTAATTAGAGGTAAACTGAAATACTTCTCCCTGTAATTCAAGCTAAGTGCAAAAGAGCAACAGAATTCTAATGTTGATTCTTTACTGTTGCAGAAAGTAACATTTTAGTGATACCCAAGCAACATTCTGCAAAATGCTTCTACCAATCATCCTTCATACCTATAGGAAAACATGTACTGCTCCAAACCTATCAGTCCTCCTTTGGTCATCTGCTAATTGAGGCTCTGGAAACTCATCTTACAGTATTACTTCAAAATTTAGCCATGAATATTTCTATATTTATAATATTCTGGTGTTAGCCAGCATATCTTAATTATTAAAATACTATTTCAAATGTATTTCCATTAATATTTACTTTACTTCTGCTGCAGTTCAGCACATAGTTCTGTGGAAAACTGATTAAAAATATAGTTGCATGAAATATATGAAAATTAAATTCTACTAGTCTCAAAATATCAAGATTTTATGGACAATGTGCCAAAGCTCTGTGCTGTACTGTAGAGTATAAATATTTACAATTGAGTTTATGTATTAGTAGTTAAATGCTGTGGGATGTACTCATTCTCCCAAGTGAATTCCCATCTGAAGACACTCTGCAGTCTGTCAGTTAGACCACAGAGCTGTGTTATCTAAACCCTTTCACAGGGGGCCCGTGTCAGTCAGATCCCAGAGCGATCGGGACCTGAGGAACACCTGGCACTGATAATGGGGACTGACAGGAGCAGGCGGGAACAGAGAACTACTTCAAGATGAAAAAGCCTTTTCCCAGTCTCCAGCTCAGGAAGATGCTTTTCAGACACAGCCCCTGCCCTTGGGCTACTCCCCAGAGTTTCCCACAGTGGGCTCCACTGGTTGTGTCTGTGCAGTGGGGACATGGCCCAGGGTCAGGGCCAGGAACCAGGAACTGCAGCTTGGAGATGTAAAATTAACTGAATCATTGAGTGGTTTGGTTTGGAAGAATCTTAAAGCTCATCTCCTTCCTCCGCCCTGCCATGGGCAGGGACACCTTCCACTAGCCCAGGTTGCTCCAAGCCCCCTCCAACCTTTCCTTGGACACTTCCAGGGCTGGGGCAGCCACAGCTCTGGGCAACCTGGGCCAGGGCCTCCCCACCCTCACAGGGAGGAATTTCTTCCCAATATCCCATGTAAACCCACCTTCTCTCAGTGGGAAGCCATTCCCCCTGTCCTGTCACTTCAGTTCCTGAAGCACAGTCCTTCCCTGGCTTCCTTGTAGATCCCTTCTGGAAGGTACTGTGAGGGCTCCACACAACTTCTCTTCTCCAGGATGAGCAGCCCCAGCTCTCTTGGGAAACTTGGGACTTTGGAACTTGGAAGGTTTGAGAAATCTCCTCAGTCCAGCTTCACACAAGCCATGGGGTGATCCTGGGATTCCAGCCACTCCAAGGAGCTTTTGAAAGCACCTGGAGGTCTACAGGAAGCTGAGCTGAAAGTCAGTAGCAACCAAAGAAATTACACTGGCTGCCACCATCCATGTGGTCACACTGTGCTCATACCCAAGCCAGAGCAGAACCACGTGACTCTCTGTGCACAGTCATAACAAGATTACCCAGCAGAATGAACCCTTTAATCAAAAACCAAATCCTGGTAAAATGACGACTTATCCAAAATTAATTTTCCAAGTAATGATAGCAATAGTAAGTAACAACATGGAACTCCTCAGTGTCCCATCTACAAATTAATTAAAGAACTAGTTACAGGGAGAATAAATATCACACACAGGCCTGTGTGGCACAGTTGAAAAATGATCTGACAAACATGATGCCTCCAGAGGAATGAGTTTGCAGTTAAACCAGACAGGTTAATACCCTACTTACATCCACAAGACACTCACACTGCTCCCTTGCAGCTGCTGTGACTTGAGACTAAAAGCTTTAACCAACAAAAACCATTAAACTCGGGCAATAAAACAATGTCAACCACAAGAGACCACATGACTACGGATCAATACACGGTATTTCCTTTCGAAGTCATGTCATAAGGTTTTCAGTTTGAAAATATTTTTTGCTGCTTTAAAAATGCAGAGGAAAAAAAGAAAAACAAAGAAAACTTGTTCAGGTCTACATTTAAAGAATCCAAACCAGAAGGCAAAAAATACAAGAGATTCATGGCAAAATCACTACCAAAATGATAAAAATGAAACATGGAAAACTGTGGCATGTCATGGACATGGGTGTGTCGTTTGTAGGGCCGGTGGACTCAGATTCATCCACAGCTACACTTACTCTTTAAAAAGATATATAGTTTTAGGTAACAATGCACCAGACATTTTGTAGAGCTTCCTCGACTTTTATCTACCATGGAGTAGGAAGATTAATACTAATGAGAGTTGATTAATACTAATGAAAGTAATTCCTTTCCAGGATTCAGGTGTTACATAAACAGAATCACCAGGCCAGTACTGTCCTACACCCAGGAAGGCAAAACCACCTTGCCATGAAGCACAATCTCCCCCAGGAATCAGCCTTCTGTGCTCTCAGCACAAGGCAGGGGACCCAGGCAGAGCTTTCTGTGGCTGTGAACTCCACACCTATGAAGAGTTCATCAGAGGTGGGGGTTTAATCCCTCACCATATCTTCATCACTGTGGTGACTTACATGTTTTCCAACACATTATTTAACATATTCATAAATATTCTTTATATTTTTATAGTACTTAAGTATCAGACAATATTCTGAAGCAAAGCAGAATGAGCTCAAGAGAAAGGTCAAAGAACATCCATAGAAGGTTAAAAAAATACTTATTTCATGTCCATTTTCTACCAAACCCCTTCCCTCTCACCCATTTGCAATGTCTCTGGTTTTACCAAAGCCTCCTCACTTGACTCTTACATTCAAAGAAAGGGGAGGGTGAACTTGCCCCACAACTCCTCTGTCCCAAACCTCAGGAGGGTTCCTGCACCAGCTTCCCCCCCTGCCAGGCTGTGTCAGTGTGTACAGGTGAAGTGCAGTGCCTGTGAGCTCCTGACATCCCTCTGCTGCTCAGCCTCCCCTCCTGGAGCAGGAGGACGAGCTGCACTTGCCTCAGACTCGTTGCAAAGCTTCATTTATGAAGTCTGACAGAGATGGAAAGACAAAGCAGATCCCTGGACGCTCCAGCCCTGTGATTTTCCAGTTCTACACTCCTTCCTGTCCATGTTATTACTAAAAGCATGGGGCTGTTATATCTACACAGTCAGTACATTTATCTTACCCAAACACAGCCCAGCCAGGCAACACCACATTTTGTTTCTTTATGAAAAAGAACAAAAAAAAAAATTATAAAAACCCACAATGAAACCTTAATTCTTAACTGAATGACCCCTTTGGCATCAAATTACTGTGATATTTCAATTCCTTGTGCCTTAACAGGGCAGCAGCTTTATCTCTCTCAATGTTAAAGGCCTTGGGAAGTGAGATGGGCAATCAAAGTAATAGAAAAAGCAATACAGAATGTCTATAAAACTGAGCTGAATATCCCCAAATGTTTTCTCAGCAGGTTGCCTGTTACAAGCTCAGGCACCTGGATAGTAAATTACTGCCGTTTGATTAGTGTAACAGGTATTTTGTGTGTGGTTACCAAATTAGCAGGAACAATCCAAAAATTCCCCATAGTCACTGGCCCCCGTGTTCTGGTTTGGAAATGTCATTGCAAGTTTACTTGGGAAGGAGCTTTGAAGGGCAGTTTTTCAGGAACAACTTAAATACATTTTCATGGGTCAATTTCTGAAGAATATTATTGTTTCTATTCTGAATTGTTTGACCTTCATGTTATGAAAATCAAAGTCACGCAAAGCCTTTTTTATATAAACTGAAATTAGGAAAATGTCACTTCTTACATTGTGACAGGGGTTCAGAGGCTCTCACACACATATACACACTGCATTTAAACTCCCAGCCAATTTTCTGTTCCAGTAATAGAGAAAAAGGGAAGATTTATGGCAAGAATAGTTTCCATTTCTTTCTCCATGATTTGGTTTTTTTTCTCCCTGTTATCCACATATCAGAGAGAATATATTCAAGTAGAGCAACCATAATAAAAAAAAAAAGAGGTGAACCTTTATTGGATGTAGGAACAAATCTCCTGGACCTACTATCTGCTTTTTCTTTTTTTTTTAATTCTGTAGATAAAATATGACTTTGGCAGGGAAAGGTGGGTGTAATTAGAGCACAGGTTTTGGGCAAATAGGAAAAAGTGGGGTGAGGAATTTCTCCTGCTGAGAGAAAGCATCAGGTCAGAAAGAAGACAAGAAAAAATCCCCCTCCATGTTACCTTACCGCTTGTAAAATCTGAAAGGTTTTCATCTCCCATGACTCAAAGTCAAGAAATGCAAGAACAGACTGACCAAATGACCTTAATGAGAAATAAAATCCCCTCACCATTTTCCCTCTCCCTAATCTGTACCACAAACTCCTCATGCTTTGGTACTTTCCCTCCTTCTCCCACTGCTTATCTTGCAGTGTAACTAAAGGTCGCCTTTATTAGAGATTGTTTCTGCCTATTTCTAGTTTGAAAATCGGAATTCAGCCACCACATTAAAAACTCCTCCTGCTACTGATTGTTCTGGTGCCACAGTCACAGACAGGTCAAACAAAATGACACGGGGAGAGAGAGGTGAGAGATAATATCTCAGAACCCAAAGGTGAGGACAGGAAGGTGCTTCATGATGGCACAAGCACTTCCCAGCACATACAACTCTATCATTACTACAAGCCAAATGATTCATAATTATAGATCTCAGTCTTTTTTTATGGTATTTTAAATGTTTATTGATTTGTAAAGGCAGCATGACTCGAAATTGTGCTGACCTTGGAAAGGCTGAGAAGGCAGAACTCTTAACATTTTTACCAAATGAGCTGCAAAAGCTACAGGAGCATCACAGCCCTGCCATGAGACACCTGGAAAGGTCACTCACAGTCCAGCCTTGGGTCACCCTTGGGACACAACAGCAAACTCGATGTTCCAGAAGAGTCCAGACACTCAGGGTTTGGAAGGGATGAGCATCTGATCCATCTGGGGAGGAAGAAAAAAGCATTTTGTGGCCAAGGAGGGAAGGTAGAGGAAGAAATATTCCTTAGAAGGAAGTTTTTGTTTCCATTGGCCAGATCAAAGGCTGAAGCTCAGACAGGAGAATTTGAAAGCACTCGAAGGACTGCAAAATGCAGAACATTCCAAACGAGTGCTGGTAAGACTTTTGTATCCTGAACCATCTCATATATTCTGTCAAAAAAAGTATTTATTGAAAGATGAAAAGGAGTTTTAAAATAGATTATTGAGACTATTTTTGCAGCCTGTGCCCATAAGCCCTTGTTCCACAGCGAGTGCCAAGACTGAGGGCTCAGAGGGAGAGAAAAAAATGGGAACTAATAAATTCGGCTTTGCTTTTGAGTAAGGCACCCTCTCCCAGCCTCATGCTGATAAAACCTTTATGCCACTCGATAGCATATTCCCCCTCGCCCTCAATTTTAATTTGAGTTTTTCCCACATCATATGTAGCATATGCAGAATACATGATGGTGCCTGGAATAAAGGTTTCATTAGCACTCATTTGGGATGCAGCATAACTCCCTTATGATTTCACAACGTGGAAGGGAGGGAGCCATTCCAAATGCCTCCTGTTGAAACGTTTATTATGCAACCAGCTATCACCCACTTTCTCTTTCACTCCCCACCCACACACTGCCTGCCCCATTACAAACTCTATTTTGTTTAGTTTCTAAGAGCTGAATAAACAGACTCCAGCCATCTATGGGTGCATCTTGTCTTGATGTAGACTAATACCATTTTAACTCCTCTATTTTGGTGGGGGTTTGCTGATGGGTTGGAAGAAAATAATTAGGGTGACTCTGCTTTAAAAAAAAATTGATAAAACCCCATTCTTATTTAAATGCACTTTCAATTTTTGGTTGTGTTTGGTTTTTTTTTTTTTTGGTTGGTTGGGTTTTTATTTTTGTTTGTTTGTTTGTTTTGTTTTGTTTTTTAAATAGAAATATAGTTTTATTGCAAGAATTCAGTTAATATTTTATCTTCAAAATTCTGAGGAATCTGCATTTTAGGGAAAAGTTCCCCCTACAAGTTGAAAATCCTACCATTTTAGCAAGATGCAATTGTGTGTCTTTATTTTGCAGGCCATGGAAATGAGAAGGAAATGTATATTTATTTTAGCTAATGGGTAAGTAAAAAATCTCAGGAAGATGTCTTTGAATGGGTCTGTCATTTTAAAGTTAGGTACTATACATAGTCCCTAATTGTACTGGGGAGAACTGTGCTGGCATGAAAAGCTATTAGGAAGAGTAAGAAACTTTTGGGTGGAATGCAGTGTTAATGAGAGCTCATTATGTTATTGCAAATTTTGACACACTCCATGTTTTTCCTACAGTCCCAGCTCCCCAAGCAAAGTAAGTTTTAGTTCTCTAAAAAGGTAAAGCAAAATTATCCTTCCCTCTGTCTCCAAAAATAAAAGCCAAATAAAAGGATACATAATTTAGATCCCTATTATTTAATACTACTCTAATTATTTAAGATAAAGCAATTTATGGCTTCCAAAAAGTATGATTAGCAAAACAAAGAACATTTAACATCTGGCACCATAGAAAACAGCCAGGAATTGCCTCTCAGGGAAGATGAATCTGCCACTCCCTGGTAAGAGGCTCCACCACACAACTCATTTGTTCAGTGGTTGTTTTCCAGCTTTACCTACAGCAGGAAACATGAGACCATTATTTCTTCTGATTTCAAAACTAACAGTGATTTAAGAATGTAAGGTATTTTTATTAGTTTTAGACAGTTTCTTAATGACATGATTTATGGAGGTTATTTTGGAATGTACTAAAATGCACATAGACTGCTCTGTGTGGATACACTGTCCCTGAGTAGCTTTTTAGTTACAGCTTCTGGAAGAAGATGGGCCTTTCATACAAATTTAGTTATAAATTGAAGAATCTTAAATAAAAAGTGTGAGTTTTCCTTGTTCTTCTTAACTTTTCTGATATTAAACAACATTGGAGCAAATCAGATTTCCTGTTCCATTCAAATTTCTGATTGAATGAAAAAGTGGCAAATTGTAAACAGAACAAAAATTATACCAAGATGAAATTGCCTGATCTACATTTTTATCTGTTGTGAGTCCATATGGAAAATCAGATTTAAAAAAAAAAACCAAAACCCTACAACAAAACAAAACGAAACAAAAAACCTACAGCCAACCAAAAAAAAAGCTCTGGGATGACACTGTGCTTCCCTCTTTACTTTCAAATATTCATATCACCTGAACAGGCAATATGAATATCACTTGAATAGGCAAATGTATGACCACCATAGATTACAGATAATTATTTTAGAGCCTTTTTTAGAAGAATACACATCCTTTCTTCATCTGCTGGATGACTAAAGGAAACTGTCTCATTATTACACCAGTAGCATCACAGTGACACAGCCAACACTGTATCAAACCTGATCAAAATTGTATTCTTCCTTGTCTAACAGCTGGACAAGAAATGAGATCAAGTCTGAATCCCAGCTCACAATGGGATTTTTCTGCCTATTTGTATCCTTTAGTATATTTTATTCTTTTTCCCCCAGAAAATTAGAAGTGATTTAGTTCATTTCTTTTTTCTTTCAATACTCAATTTAAGGCATTCTTGTGTGCATCACTCCAGCACAAGTTTGTTTTGAAAACTTAAGTTCACCACTCTGTACATTCTAAATTTGGTCTAATTACTGTTGCTGTTGAGCAGATAATGTACAACACAGAAAAATCCCAGAGCAGCTATAGATGCACTTCTGTGCTGTGCAGAGGTGAACACAAAGGCAGAAACAAATGCTGTGTGCTGGAGTTACACACATTGGAAAGCAGAGCACACACTCCTGCTTTGTCTGGGCTTGGGATCCAGCCTGTCTGCCTGCACCACACAATGGGCTTGTAAAGGATACACAGCTGAGAAAAGGCTGTGAAGTTCATTCTAGTTTATGTAGGGTCTAAAACAAGAGGAGTCTAATTCTAATTGGCCTTTGGGGCACTACCTAAATCAATAAAGAATGGCAATAATAATGCATAGGTGTTCCCACCAGCCTTTCTTCCTGTTATTTATTTCTTGTGCCCTTCACCAACAAGATAAAAAATATTTTTGCTCATAAATGAAAATTTTGGTTTGTACTGCAAGTCTTTAGGAGGGGGGTCTCATCAACATTTCTTAAAGTGAAATTCCTTCAGTCTGTGGGACTCAGGTTATGACACAGCTCAGTGTCCCCCCTGGATACAGAGGTTTTCCACATAGGTGTAGGAATTTCTAATGCAACTAAGAAAAAACAAACCCCCAAATCAAAACCAAGAGAAGTCCCCAAAAAATGCTTTGAATAACTGAGTTTTCCAGGTGTTTAACAAGAATGGCCCTGTTCAGACACTCTTCACAGTGATGTCTCTGGGTTGGCACCATGGTGCTTCCCTCCATGGCTCTGAGGCCTGAAGAGGCCCCACAAGTCCAGTCCCTGTGCTGCACACACAGGGCACACTCCTCTGCCACACAAACACAGCCTGGGCACGTAGAGAGCAAACCCTACCAAAACAAAATGCTCTGCTGCACACACCATTCCCCTCAGGGAGAGAATCAGACAACAAAATACACGAGACAGATGTAACTCATGTTGCTTAATGCATTCCTGGAGGCACTTGTAAAAACCCTATTTTAAAACCAGAGTAATTTCCTGATCCTACTCCTTTTTTTCTCCACCACAGCAATAACAACTTGGTTAAAAATTGGAGATAAAGTTTAGTACCATTACACTAAGCTCATCCCATGTTAGGAATATAAGAACCCAGTTTTCTAAAAGGGTCAAAAAATTTTCAGGTCAACCAAAGCCGTGAAAATCCACAACAGGTAAACAAGGTCTGGTGCTTCCAGAAGGAGGAAACATGAGGCCTCTAATACCTCACACTTTATATTCTGTTAAAGGGAGATAAATTAATTTGAAGGAAATACCTTGATTTTGTTTCTGCACAAACTCAGCAAAGTTCTCATTTGCATAGCCTTAAGTATACACTAGGACAGATTTACTTAAATAAATATTACCATTTATCAGAATTTTTCTTTATTTCTATGCTTTTTCCCCCTAGTGAGCAGAGATGACAACAAAATAAGTGACTAATTTGACTACAAGCCCATTTGCTTAAATGATAAAATAGAATGCTGGAGATAGGAGCTCGTTTCACCTGTGGCTAACGTATTTTTAAAATATCATAGCTGTACCTTGGGTAATTGTGAAAGCCATTCACTGCTTCTACATATTTATTTACAAATAATCAAATTATATTTTGGACACGATACAGTAAATCTAAAACTTTTGGGCCTTTTTTAGCCTTACAGTGAGATTTATGGCACTGCAGGCTGGTACAGCCAAGGGTTGAACCCCTGTTCTGCCCATTCATCACATGTCAAGCTCTGAGAACACTGCCTGACACAGGATGAAAATCCAGCTGGGAATTGCCACAGCAAAGGGCTGCAGTGCAGTACAGTGAGACCCTGCCCTCATCCTTGGCACAAGTTACCTGCATTCAGCTCCCAATCTCCACATTAATAATCAAGCCTTCCATTCAGAGTAGTTTTTAAAGGAACTCCCACATATTGACATGTGTTACAGAATTCCAGCCTAGAAATGGAAAGTATGGAGAGGAAAAAAGAAGCCAAACTAGAATAAAAACAATATATAAATCAGCAAAGTTTCTGTTGCTAAATTCAGTCATATTATATATTATTTTTATGTCAAGCTTTAAAATACTGTCTGCAAACGTACGTGATTACTGAAAATCACAGAATCATAGAATGGTTTATGTGGGAAGGACCTTAAAGCCCACCCAGTCCCACCCCTGCCATGGGCAGGGACACCTCCCACTAGCCCAGGTTGCTCCAAGCCCCGTCCAACCTGGCCTTGGACACTTCCAGGGATGGGGCAGCCACAGCTTCTCTGGGCAACCTGTGCCAGGGCCTCCTCACCCTCATAGGGAACAATTCTTTCCCAATATCCCATCTAACCCTACCCTCTTTCAATACCACATGGGAGGCAGAAATCCTCATTCAGGACACTCTGTTTGGGGCAGGGGTGGGGTGAAAAACCCCAGTCCATAAACACTCTTTGTATTTTACCCACATAATTAACAGGGACTATTTCCCTTGGGTGTGGGTTGCACAATCACTGAATTTGATCCAGAAAATTGTACATTTGCTCAAGCTGCATCAGTCAAGCCCAGCTCTAGTGAACATTAACATGCTGTGTAACATGCAAAATAAATGATGTGTTCTACTACCACAGGCAGAGCTATTATGCTTTGTCTGTACAGAAAGCTTAAAACACAGCCTTTCCTCATTTGTATTGCATGCAAGCATGGCATTGTGCTAAAGAGTTTTTGACTTAGGGATTAAAAGTTAGCTGGATAGGAATGTGGAAATTTCTTCTGCAAAGCATTCTGGTTTTCTAAATAAATTAACATGCTTTCATTTGTTTCAGAGAGAAAGCCACAGAAATGGTGTAAAATCTTGGCGTGTTTCTGAAAAAATAAATCATGAAAGTGAGGTTTGTAAGATGCAGATGGCTGTTGGATGGGCATTGCTCAGGACTTGGTCATAAACCCACATTTTTACTTTCCCTATGGCCCATCCTCTGGGCAATATGGGGGTTGTCTTGATCATTAAGCAGATGATTTGCAGATTGCATCTCTTTCTCTCTCACACACCTAATCTGATCTCAGAACAAATTTATCAGAAGTAAACATCCATGTCACACTGTATTTATCAAATAAATACAATTATTTACACTACAAATCTGTATTTAAATATAACCTGTTGAAGTCTGCTACTCTTTATACTGGAAGATGTAGATTTCTTGGGATAAGGGATATCGAAGAAAAAAAATTCCAGAATAGTTCTCGAGTGGCTACTATATCTAATTGTTTGTTTTCCTCAAGTTACAATTTCATAGAATCCCAGAATGGTTTGGGTTGGAAGGACCTTAAAGCTCAACTCATTCCACCCCCTGTAATGGGCAGGGATACCTTCCACTAGCCCAGGTTGCTCCAAGCTCCCTCCAACCTGGCCTTGGACACTTCCAGGGATCCAGGGGCAGCCACAGCTTCTCTGGGCAACCTGTGCCGGGGGCCTCCCCACCCTCACAGGGAACAATTTCTTCCCAATATCTCACCCAACCCTGCCCTCTGGCAGTGTGAAGCCATTCCCCCCGTCCTGTCACTCCAGACACTTGGAAATAGTCTCTCTTTTTAGATTTCTTTAGCCAGATGTGTCATGGGATTCCTCCTTGCCCAGCTGATAGAGAGGAAGACCACAGGGCATGGAAATGAGAGAGCATGAAGCATAAACTGGAGCTGGCTCCAAAAGAGCCAAATCCAAGTTTTCTGTGTAAATCAATGTTGAAACCCAAAATTTCTGGTAGAAGACAGAGTAAAATAAAAAAAGAAATAACTTGAACATTCTCCAGGCAGCGGGAGGGTCAGGGACAGAGGGGCTCCACAGAGGCCTTTGCAGGGAGGCCTCGCTGCCGTGGGCGCTCAGAGCCCGCTGTCTGTCACTGCCACCGGGACCGTGTCACCAACTCACAGCGCCGGTTCCAGCACTGTCAAAGCCCTAAAGGTGCCCTTAATCTGCCAGTTCTAACAAAAGAAATCTGCACACCTGCAGCTCTTAAAAATGTGGCAACAGCTGTCTAATCCCGAATTGAAACCCCAGCCACAGAGTCCTCAGTTACAGCAAACCCTCCCAGTTTGTATCCAATCCAGAAAATGATAGATACCCTCAATCCCACTAAAAATTCAAGAGTCCAGACTGCTCAACCCCTTCCTAAGCAGGCCATTTGTCACCCAAACGACCTCTCACCTGAGGAGTAGCAAAGTGACACGTGCCCAGATAATGTGCACACCTTTCAAAGGCTGTTTTAGGCTCACGAAACCCAACTGCCTTAGGAAGTCCTGCCTCTGGGTAATTCAAACCATTTTACCAGGCTGAGGTTTTTATATTGGTTTTATAAATGTCTTAAGGGTTAGAAAAATATATTCCATGAGCTAGAGATTCACTGAATATGCTGTGATGGTATAGAGTACGTTTAGGCCAGGACTAAAATAAAAAAGCTACAATTGGTCTCTTGTCCATATTTAAGGTAAAATAAGTGCCTAGATTTTCAGAAGCACAGAGCTCAAATCACTCATAGTGAATTTGGAAAGTGTTGAAAAATTTTGAAAATTAGGACAAACTTTTTTCAGACTAAATATGAATAAGAATCTAACCTGAGGCTGAAGTTCCTGAAAATCCTACTGCCCTATATTTTTTTTTTCACTTCTCTTCTGGTTTTACACCCATACACAGGAAAAAGTCTCCTCTTTCCTGCCTCCATCCTGCTTTTAACAATTCTTTTCACAGTGGAAACTGAATATGTACATGTGTCAGCCCCCCAAAACCATGAAGTTGAGTAAAAATCTGTAGCTACACTAATGGAGTTCACCCTTTCTTACCTAAAATACAGATAGGATTTTGCAGAAAGAAAAGCATGATAAAAGCAGGGTGCTCATATGAAGCATCCACATCCGACAGTTCCAGTTCAAAATTTAATTACTCAATATTCCATTGGGAAGTACATCCTATTCTCCCTACCACTATGTTTGCTATTTACTGCCAAAAGAAAAGATTAATATCTGCAATAAAGAACCTATAACACTATAGGTACAACACATTTTCCTTCTGTGTTTAGAGCAACATGATTCATCAAGGAGTCTGAGCGGCTGCTTCAAGTGTTCCGAGGTGGGAGTTGTAGAAATTTGAGTTTTCAATTAACAATTGCAGCTGAACAGGCACAATAAGGGAGAACTCTACAGCTTTTTAAGCTTGCCTGGCTATAATCACTTTATAATTGTTAGAAATAAAGATTCGTCTACATGGCAGATGAATCTACAGCGTTCCTGTGTTTCCCAAACTGTCAGCATCTGTTCTGTACTCTCCTAAGGCCCTTTAAATGCACAGTTTGAGGGCACAGATACAGCTCTCCAAGCTGTCTGTGTACAGGGTACAGTTTCTTCTACTTTCAAAGAGAAGATGAAAATCAGAGCAGAAATTTCCCTTTGACACTTTTCAGAGCATAAATCTTTGTCTTACAGTATTTATCATAACTACCCTTAGTTATCAAGTTCTGTAAAAATTCACCACAAGCAAAAGAACACAGTTACCAACTGATATCCTCTTGCAGAGACAGAATCTCCTGGACACAGCGTTGTGCTTTGTTGCTGTCACCACTGTAAGGCACAGGAGCACACACGCCTGGCTGGTTACAAACACACAGGTTCTTATTTCCTGATACAACTTTCCTGATGAGTGTTGAGCTGAACATTAGAAGTGCCCCAGGAATTCAGCAGGGAATGGAAATGACATTGGACTGAAGTGAAAGGGCATTTTAAGTGGTAGAATAATTAAACCCCATTACTTCATATCTGAAGATCAAACTGATTGGAATTTGGAATTTTTGTCCCATAGAAAATAAAAATTTTTGCAACCATTCCCCAAGTGAAAGAAGAAGGTTAAATATCAGGTAATTATGGAACCAAATATTAATAATGAAATGTCATTTCTTTCATGGAATCAGATGTTCTAAAATCAGCAACATGAGGGGCAGTGCCCTGAACTCCAGGAGTCTGAATTTGGCTCCATTTACACAGCTCTGAAGGTGGCTTTTTATGTATCACCAAGGATTACTCAGGTAACAAAGTCAGGAAAATCATGGGAGTGGGATGGATAATTATAAATCTTGGAGCATGAAGAGTTTAAAAATAAAACACAAATGTTGAGTGGCCCTTAAGCAAACTTGAATTGCATTTTTTTTCACTACAACTAAGATATGTATAATTACCTTTAAACATTTCCAGACTTAAAGTGAGGAATATTGTTGAATAGAAAGCATATATCACTCTCTTAAGAAATATAATTCTACCATTATAAAGAACAGTCCCTGATTACAATAAGAACATTACAGATATTATGTTCGGGAAATAATTAGAACTATTCAGGCAGGTTTACCTTGCTATGAAGTCAAGGTAATAAGATAGCCAATAATGTTCCTAATATTTGGAGCTCTTGGTGGAACTAAAAGAACACAGGATTGTGTTTAATACAGTAATGGAAATTAGTGTTATAAGAAAGCCAGTATATATGTAAAACTTATATTCATTCCCATTGAACTACTTATCTAGCAAGTTATTTGGTCCAAAATTATAAAGATATGGAAGTTGTGAGCAATTTAAACACCTTGCTGCTCAATGCAGTCGTTGATCTCTACCAGGGCCTGTAGATTACAATTTAAAAACATTGATCTATAACTATTTAATTGAAGTTGATCATATTTAAGTGGGATTTGAGTTTAAAATGTCAGGTAAGATTTTGAGGGAGGTTGAAGGGGAGAGAAGGAAGGAAAGTTATACAATAACAGCTGATAAAACAATATTAAATTAAATATTAAGTTGGGCTTATCAGACACAGATGGATCCTCTGGGTCTGCAGAACTGAGTTGAAATCTTACAAGAGAGCTCTGCTTCTGGTTAGAAACACTTCACAGACATTATTTCATTACATTTGAGCGTTTTAATTATCCCTCTGATTGGGACTCTGTAGGCATATGAAAGTGAAAAGAAAAATGAGCATGCTGTTTTTAGAATTTCCAGAAAGATTCCTCAGTTGAAGTTCAAGTTTTCTATAAAAAAAATAAAACCCCACCTTCAATTTCAGAATTGGGTCTGAGAGGAAATGCAGGGTTTCATTTTTTTTTCTTTTGGGTTTTGTAAGCCTATTTATTATCCAGACCTAGTCAAACTAATGAACCACAAAAAAAGGATATTAATTTTAGAACTCACCAGCATTGTTCTGGGACCTGCTGCAAATGTTATCAATAATAGAAAATGTATCTAGCGTGAAGGCAGCTTGTCAACAAGATGACTGAGTCCTGCACTCTTAAATTGGTTATTTTAGCTCACACAAGATCTTATTGACATGGATGTATCTGAAACAATCCCCCCAAACATAGTCATGAGGCTTGGCAAGTTCTAAAGCCAAGACAAACTATTGAGCCACGTATTTCAAAAGGTCAATATTATTTATTTCCTTCAAGAGAGGAGCTGGTGAACTTGTGTCCTCGGTGTTGGACACAAGCTGTCGAGTAAGACAGCTTTTTGTACAGCACAGCCAATATTTTGACCAGAAATTTTAGTTGCTATTTGTTAATGCTCCACTTTGTTATTGAAGGGATTTCTCCAGGATAAACAGGGTTTCCAACTCATAGCATCTGGCTTTAAAGCAGATTGTCTTTGAAGCCCCACAGAAGTTCTGCTCAGACAGAGCCACTGCTCTGATATCCCCTGTTTCATCAGGCTCTGGAGAGATTTGGGTGTGACCTCTCCCTGTCTTCCAGCTCTGCCTGTTGCAGGAATTTTCTCTCTAGAGGCACACACTGATATTTCTGGAAGGTGGAAAACCTTGCTGTTGCTATCACTTGTTTGGAAGCTCTTCCATCAGACCCTGTTGCTGTTTTCTTTCTCCTAAAAGCTCTTCACCAGGCTTTGCTTCTCTGTGAACAGCAATGCACAGCTTTTGTGCATATCCTGACTTCACCATCTTCTCCCCACAAGAACTACAGACATCCTGGGTTCATGGTGAGATTTCATTTAGCAGCTGCTTCAATACACTCTGAAGCCAACAAAAAGTTTCCACTAACCTCAGCACACTTTGCCTTTTTTTTTTTTCTGCAAAGCAACAAAGTTTACAGGGAGTGTTAGAAGATTCACTTTTGTTATTAGTCTTTTTAAAGACACAGCAAAGTTTGAGGTGTAACTATTAATTCATAAGTCTGGCCTATTTTGTAATTACTTATGCAGTTTGTTATCTACACACAAGAGCATAATTGTAAAACTTTGCATCTCACCCTTAACTGGCTTCCTGCAAACACCTTCAGGCTGGGTGAACCTGGGGAATTACAGTACCCACCCCGAGCCTGGTTGGTGGAAGTCTGGAGGAAGGGACCAGTCAACTCGTAAAATTCCTAATACTCCCAGTGCAAAAAGAGCTTTCTTACCATCAGATTCCACCAACTGCTCTTGGGATTATCACAGAATCCCAGAATGATTTGGGCTGGAAGGACCTTAAAGCCCATCCAGTCCCACCCCCTGCCATGGGGAGGGACACCTTCCACTAGCCCAGGTTGCTCCAAGCCCTGTCCAACCTGGCCTTGGACACTTCCAGGGATGGGGCAGCCACAGCTTCTCTGGGCAACCTGGGCCAGTATTCTAGAGATGACAAGGAAAACTAAAAGTATTTTTAGACTCAAGGGGATAATTTTAGGGACCAGCACTGCCATGAACATTTTAGTGGTCAGTACCCCATCGACCATGCCAAAACTACAAAATCCAGTTGTGATTTCAGACCACAGCACCAATTGTTACATTCAGAAAGTTCGGAGACCTTCACTTCTGAATACATGAGAAACCACTGAACTGACTCTGACTCATATACAGGTGCTTAAATGTTCCCTCTTTCAGCGTTT